CTGGGCTGCCCGAGCCCCTCCGCGGCTTTGCTCTGCGTCTTCCTGGTCTGCAGACCAGGGAGACGCAGAGAAAGCCCCAGAGTACACGGGCGGCAGGACCGCGAGGTCCCGCAGTCCGTGTACTCTGGGGAAGCCCCATTCATAACTGCGGATCCGACATAAGTCGGATCCGCGTAAGTCGGGGACTGCCTGTAGATCAAATATTCTACAGACCTTGGCACCCCACTATCACACTTATATTAGATATTACTTCAAAATACACTATATTTCTGCACACAGTATTTTAGGCTATAAAAGGATCCTTCCTATTTGCAAGAAGATCTTCCTTGTAAACTTATATTTAGGTTAAAGCTGAAAAATAGGCCATTACAAGCATTCACATTTATGAAAACATTTTATTAGTACAAGTTGAATAGTTACCACACACAAACCATGACAGACAAGTGCTGATGGGAGGAGATGGGAGCAGTACAAAGCCATACAAAACAATGACAATTGTTAGGAGCTCAGCACTTTTGAAAATAAAGAGAATCTATTTAGATGTTTAAAACTTTAGGCACTTATTTTTTAAAATCTTGTCCAGTGACTGTGTATTCCACTTTACAATTACTTGTAAGAAGGCATTGATATTAAAAGGTCTATCAGAATGTGTTTTTGGGATTATTATCTGAGAGGTAAAGATCAAATGTGTCCACTTTGGAAAGGGCCAGCTGCGCTGTAAAGGATTGGACCAAGCAGAAGAAATTAACAGAAAAAAAGTGGTTGGAAAGTATAGAAGCAATCTGTTTTTATCACTCAAATGCACGGTCAAGTCAAGTACATAAAATAATAGCCTGAAATACTTTAATTAAAACAAGATAACATGAAAATCAGCCAGAGCTTCCAATAGCTATATGGTAACCAGTGTTTCTAGTGCAAAAGAAATACCATGGTAGCTGGGAACAGTTGGTTTAGGTAGATGGATAGGGAAGATGACAGTAGTATATTATAGGCATTTTGGGGACACTGAATACAGCCTATCATTTGGAACACTGTACAATCACCCTGAAATCTTCATATGGAAGAAATGCCCCAATATTTTTTATTTATGAGGAATAATTTAAAAAGGAATAGAGAATAAGACAGAGAATATCTTATTGCCTCCATATAAATCCATGGTACACCCACATCTCCAATACAGCATGCAGATATGGGCACCGAATCTCAAAAAAAGATACCTTGGTATTGGAAAAAGTTCAGAAAAGAGCAACAAAAATTATTAGGGGTTTGGAATGGTTGCCATATGAGGAAAATTGAAAAAGACTGGGACTTTTCAGCTTAGAAGAGAGGAGAATAAGGGGAGACATGACAGAGGTCTATAAAATAATGATTGGTGTGGAAAAAGTGAATAAGGAAAAGTTATTTACTTGTTCCCGTAACACAAGAACTAGTAGTAACCAAATGAAATTAATAGGTAGCAGATTTAAAACAAACAAAAGGAATAATTTCTTCATGCAATCCACAGTCAGCCCATGGAACTCCTTGCCAGAGAATGTTGTGAAGACCAGACCTTAACAGGGTTCAAAAAAGAACTAGATAAAATCATGGAAGATTGGTCCAGCAATGGCTATTAGCCAGATGGGCAGGAATGGTGCACCTAGCCTCTGTTTGTCAGAGGCTGGGAATGGATGATAGGGGAGGGATCACTTGTTGATTATCTGTTCTGTTCATTCCCTTTGGGGCACCTGCCATTGGCCACTGATGGAGGACAGTGGGGCCAGATGAACCTTTGGTCTGACCCAGTCTGGGCATTTTTATGTTCTTCAGATATTAAACAGCACAAAGAAATAGCCTTTAAAGGAAAACTCAGTTGCCCAAAGAATAAGTGCCTAAAACTGAAGAAAAAAATCATTAGAATGGCAGAGTTAGCGAACATAAAATTATGAATCTTAGCAAGAATGAGTTGTAATATAAAAAAATTAAGCAATTCAAGAAATACCAGAACCTAAAGGCAAACAAGCACTGCAGAGATTCACAGGAAAAGTATTCCAAGTCACTCTCCAGCCCACCTCTGTTACAATTTCTAAAAATAAAACTATATATTTTCATTTGATTGAACTGCAGAATTACTTTAATTGTCCCAAGGCTGTTATGAAAACCATTGTGCTTACATGTTTTTTATGTGTATAACCTAGGAATGATATCAGTTGTTAAACTCTGAAGGGTCTTGATGTGATGCCGTAATATATTTTTATTATTTATTGGGATTTGTAAATAAAATAGGTGTGCATTCAAAAGGTATAGGTATACAGCCATTACCTTGAGAATTTCCCCAGACCTCACCCTCTGTCTCCCTCTAACAAAAATCAAGCTGTAAACCAATTCTCTGGTTTTACAGGTAAATCCTTTCATATGTAAGGCAAGAGATTTACCCATACTGATATCTTCAGACAACAAACACAGCACATATAGATTGTTCTACCTAGCACCCAACAATTGATTTGTGAACTTCCCTGAATTCTAGGAAATGTCTCAAGTGGCATCTGTCAGAACCCCTCAACAGTATTGGAGGAAATTTCTTATTGTATGTCACATAAAATACTGATGCACAAGGCTCCTACTTTATCCACATTCAATTCCTTCCTTACATTCATTCCTGATTACAAGAAACTAGACACCTATGATAACATACCAAGACGTGTTTATTCCCAAACTGAACACAATACTACTATACAAATTATACTCCAATAGCTATGCCTAACCTCTGAAAAACAATGTGTACAGTAATGTGATAATTCAATCACTTGGAAACCATGTTTTCTAGTAATAAGAATACATTTGCAGCCCGAGGACATAAACAGGTGCTGACTTGCACTTCATTACTAGTAATAAAGATTCTAAAAGATAATGGAATTGCAAAGGTGTAACTGAGGACATAATTTGGAGATACCAGGGTTGCCCGTAATAAGTGAATATAGAATATAAATCTGGCTTCTAGTTAAGTATTTGTGATTATGAAAGAAAAATAAGTCAGCTTCACTCTCAGCACCCAGGATGAATTTGCCGAGTTGGCAGTTAGAACAGCAGCATATTTTCATATGTAAACGGAATACAAATTATACAGAATCACTAAACAGAATCTTCTTGTGATGGGACATAAAAACTCTACAGTGATTAATCATGAGTTAACAGGAGCCTGAGTTCAATTAAGTGACAGGATGGCACCTGCATGGTTCAGAGGGATAGCTAAGTTAGTCTGTAACAGGAAAAAATTAAAAAACAACAAATAGTCTAGTTGTACCTAGGGTTGCCAGGTGTCCAGGGTTGAACTGGACAGTCCAGTATTTGAGCTTTCTGTTCAGGAAACAAATTGAGAAAATATAAATGTCCGGTATTTTCTAAATAAGATGTCATGTAGATTGTGATGTAATGTCAAGTGTGTCTGGTATTTTTGTTGAAACCATCTGGCAACCCTAATAGCACCTTAAAGACTAACAAAACATGCAGATGGTATCATTGGCTTTCATGGGCAATACCCACTTCTTCAGATGACTGGAGTATAATAAATCCAGATCCAAGAATAAATAAGGGAAGGGGGGAGAGGAAAAAAGGGAGGGGAGGAAGAAAAATAGAAACAGTGAGTAAATAGTGCAAACAGTTACAAGAGGCTGTTAAGAACCATTAGCTTGGTTGGTTGTTTAAGTCATTAAAAGGCAGAAGATAGTGTTCGGAACCTGGACTGATGTAAACCATAATTAGTAATCAAGCCCAGCTACGGAGGGTCTGGATCTTTACAAAGAATGGAGCACAAAGTAATGGAAAAAGGAGGCCCGGGAAAAGTCACAACTTATTAATAGAGAGGTTTCCTCTCTTATGCTAAAGACAGTGGGAACCCAGGAGGTCTGGAGTCAGAACTTGTGGGTCTTGAGCCAGGAAGAAACCTGGGGACATTGAAAGGTGTCCAGAAGCGGGCTGTCTTGAACTCAGAGGCAGCTGGAGACAATAAATAACAGTGAAGTCTATGAGGCATTTGGACTGAAGTTTGTGACTCTGTGCAAGAAGAGAGGGAAAAACTCTGCTGTCCCTCTTGGGGCAGCAGGAAGTATAGAAACCTGTAGGGTACAGGAAGACTCTTTGTAGG